TCCGGTACAGTCTATAGCGAAAATGACAACACACACACACACACACACACACACACACACACACACACACACACACACACACACACACACACACAGAGGGAGGGAGAGAGAGAGAGAGAGAGAGAGAGAGAGAGAGAGAGAGAGGCCAAAACAATAATTCAAGCCTGAGGAGCTCAGAACATTTGACCGATTGTGGCTTTGTCACTTGTGCAGCTGCTTAGGCACTCTGGTTCAAGGTGATCCAAGCCTATTCTGCTCTGCACTTCAACTTGCTCGACAGGTATTTCAGAGCTTATCTATCCTATTCATGCCATGATTTAGCCCAAAAAACTCCGAAGCATTTTACAGGGGTGCAGCATGACGGGTGCAGCATCTGCCTATCTTGTGACTGCTGTTATTGCACAAGGATGTCCATGTTATGTCATTTAGATATTCAGCATATGTATGATCGTTGTGGCACACGGAGGTGTAGGAAGCTTGATCTCAACTATGCCAACGTGACAAGCCTCATATGGGCGGCACAGTAAAGTGAGATTGAAGAGAAAAGATAAAAAAGAAGCCGTGGACACAAAGGAAGGAAAAAAAAGAAATCGGCAAGCTACGATGATAACACCAGTGGTTCCTCGGGACTGCCTGGACCGATTAGGAGGACATGAAAAACTACGAACTGATATCGCTTGACTGTCCTATACATGATTTTGGCGAATGCACCTAACCGCCAAATGCTGCCATTTAGACCGAGCACGAGCACTGCATCATGTAATGTCTCGGAATAAGGCTTCCCAGAAAATCACTGAAAAGTGCATGCAGGCAGCCATCCCATTCCTTGATTTTGGAAAAGCTTACGAGCAAGTCAATTGGACTTTCTACATGATTGCATGGAAAAGACGGGGGTGGGTGGTAAGTTCAGAAAATGGCTAAAAATCTAGGATGCCCAACTTGCGCCCGGATACATATCCGGGTGGCTGGCTGGGCATAGCCCCTGGGCAGGGTTCCAGGTAGTCCCATCGCAAAAAAAAAAAAAAAAAAAAAAGGGATTAAAGAATTTGAAGGGAAATTTAAAACATGACTTTTGGCTGAGGGTCACATCATAATTCCTCACTGAATCAAAGAGGAAAAAAAAAAAAAAATAGAATCAGACTACGGCACCCCCCTTTTAACTTCCTTAGCCCCATGAAAACCAATTTATACCCCCATCGCCCCAGTCAATTTAAACCCTTTAGCCCCTTTTTAACCCATAGGAGGATAGGGCACAGCTGAACGCAACTGAATGGCCGCTCTTTTTCTCACTGACCTCCACCTCCACCTCCTCCTCCTCCACCGCCATCGGCAATGTTGCCACCTGGTCAGTTTTGGCTGCAGAAGGGTAGACCACAATCGAGAGGGAAGCAGCTTTCTTGTGTTCTCTTCTTATAGGCCGAGGTGGTTACTACGATGGTGATGTCAATGCAAATAGATGGTCAGCATTAAAAACAGAACACATTTCTCCAGAATTCAGAACTTCCAAAGTTTACACATTTGCTCCAGAATTCAGAACTTCCAAAGTTTCCCTTCCGTCCTTGGATGATCTCATGCAGCTTCTGAGTTCATTGTTTTATTTTCTAATTCTTCTGCTGCAGGGAATTGTTGAGAGAATTGCTCAGATGAGTGCAGAAAGTACTCAAAGCGTCAATCCAGCAATTGTAAAGCTTCAGGTATGTCCTACCTTGTTTAGAAAAAACCCACATGACACTGTCAGAAATCTTTTTGTCTATTTGTCTCTGGATGGTGTACGGTTGCGAGGTGTATGTGACATTATGAGTACACTATGGCTGCATGAAGTGGTTTCTCTAAAATGATGTGTAAAGAGCTGCTTGAAGACCGTGCTCCAAGGTTTGATCATACCAGCGTACAATCACCTGAAGCATTGGTCATACCAGCGTACAATCACCTGAAGCAATGGTGAGGGCAAGCCAGAGTCCTGTGAGGCAGGGTGACCTCACATTGTCAGAGAAAGGAGATTTGCCCCAAATGCTTTTGGATCTCATAAAACGCATGTGGGTGGCTTCTGACCTGCCTTGCCTTCCTTGGCTCTATTTACTCCGAACGATGGCAAAAGAAAAACCTTTTCGAAATAATCCCATCCAGGATACTGAAGCGAATATCAGTAATCGGAAAGGGGCAATGGAGCTAAATTATCAGTTCGCAGCCGGTCACGGGTGCGTTTTATACCGCCGAGTCAATTTCGTCATCCTTCGTTATACCGGCCGAAGGTTCGGGTCCAAACAGTAGTTGGAAGGGTGGTGAATTTGCTGGGAGGGGAATTCATGGGGAACGGGCAGTTGTTGCTTGCGGATGACCGGTAGCTGTCCGTAGGAGGCTGAGGAGGCCGTGGTCCTTGAGTTGGACATTTCAAAATCGAAACGGCATTGGTCCACTTTTCTCAAATGGAGGCACTTCGAATGGACCGCGTACGTGTTGTATTTGAACACAATTGAAAAGAAAAAACTCTTTGAGTCTTTGTATTCGAAGGAAGTTTAATAAACAGTACCTTTTTTTTTTTTTTAAGGTTAGTGCCTGCCGTGAGGAATGTGTCCTCATGGGGCCCTAGCCAACATGCCCATGTTCTGGACTGTGGTCCCCAGCAAGCCTCGTGCCCGCCCTAAGTGAAGGGGGTGCTGAATGTCCACGAGAGGCCCTTATCTCAGCATTTTCCAATGTGGGTATCAGACAGTTGCTGCACGTCAGTTGGTTGAAGTGCAACCTGGGCCTCTCCCCAGGCTCTTTCCAGAAGCAGCAGCTGCGTCAAGCAGTTGAGCCCAGGGCGCAGGTGGTTGCGCCCTGGGCGCACGCAGTGTAAGTCCGACACATCACGAAGTGGCCGCGGGCTAATGAGAATGCAGCATTGTCGTCACACCCGTGGGCCAATGCAAACACGGCAAACACTTGGAGCCTGAAGGCACCCTGGAAGTGCCCAACCAAAGAGGGCCCAGGCCCTTAACTGTAGGGTGGGCCTGGGCGCAGGCACAGGGGCCAGACCGGAAGCTCCTCCTCGGCCAGGCCGAGGCATCCCATCAGGGCAGCACTCCCATATAGGCAGGAGGCCGGCCAGGGGAAGGTATTCTGGCCTAGGCAGGCAATGTGGACACGCTGCTGTGACGTTGCACAAGTGTCTGCATCAGCGCTGCTGGCTGGGGCACGTGAGGTGAAGTGGGGCGCTGCAGGGCTGTGGGGCGCTTAACGGCCATAGCCCGGCTGCGGGCGCGGGCGCGGGCAGGTGATGGGTGGCGGTGGTCTTCAGGAAGGAGGCGCATGAGTGGGTGGGCAGGGTCTGATGAGGGGAGACGAGAGAACGTACTTGGTGTATGTGCGAGGTTGGCATTGGTGTTGACGTCATGGACGTTGGTCTTTGACGGCGAAGTGAGCCTGTTGCACGAACGTAGATAGGATAAATAGGCTGGGCGCTGGGCGCCATACAGTAGGAACGATATTGGATACTGTGTTGGTGTGGTCTGAAGGATTGGACATCGGCTCACGAGTTCATTGTATCACTCTTATTTGGATGAGATCTTGGTGCATTTGAGCTCTCTGCTTGGTACATGACTATCTGGACTTCTGCGTGATATTGCAACTTGGTTTTCTGTTTATCGCTCTGGCTCATATTCATTGCACTGCCTTGTGCTGCCCGCCACTGACATGCTGCATGCTGCAGG